CACACACATACATACACACACACACATAGTCATGCTTTCTTTGAGTGTATAGCGAATATGACAACACACACACACACACACACACACAGTCATGCTTTCTACCCGTAAAGTGCCCCGCTCCTCTCCTTAACCCCGTCCATGTGCTTGCTCTTTCTTAGTTCTAACACTGTCTGATGATTCATCCTTGAATTGTATGAGTACGCATACGGCTACCACTCGCCCTATAACTATTATGAGCAAATCTCTTACTGTGTATTTTTGTTTTGTTGCTATCGACTGTGGATGTCTTGGAGACAAAGATTGGGGTTACTAGACTATCTTCTGCCTAACTGGAATTCGAACAAGGTTCTATATACTCCCTCTGTGGCGCTCTTCAACTACGGTGACTGAGGAGATCGGCGGTGTAACCTTCTAAAAATTACTCCTTTGCTGATGACAAGATCGGTTACGATATTTTTGCGGCATTCCCTTCAGCATCAGCAACTGGCACGATCGGCGTCGACGCATGCTGATTTCGCGGTAATACTTCGGTCTCCGTTTACCCGTTTGGTAGATAGTCCTCTAGACGGTCTAAGGCCTCCAAGACCTGACAGCAGTGCGCAATTGCTTTGTTTATAAAAAAAAATTCAGACACACCCCTCCCCAATTTCCCGCCCAACGCTCCGCTGAAATTCTCTCCCCGACCTTCTCTCTCCCCTTACCTCTCTCTTCTCCTTTTCCCTTTCTTCCTCTCCCCTCTCCCTCTCTCTTCCTCTCTCTCTCTCTCTCTCTCTCTCTCTCTCTCTCTCTCTCTCTCTCTCTCTCTCTCCCCTTACTATCTTTATTGAGATGGCCGCGTATGCGTGTATTACCTTTTCCCAACTCCCTTCTGTTAGGTTCTCTCACCACGTGTTTGCAATCCTTTGGCTTTTGAGATGGATGATCTGGTGCCAATTTCGGTTATAAGTTTTTTGGTCTCTACGGCTAGCAGTCCTTTCGACAKTTCTAATGGCATGTAGTGTGGGATGACAGATGGCAGATGCTAAGATTAGTATTTACTTCTCCGTTTTTTCCGTTCGGCGTTCCTCTCCCTGGCTTCTCCGACTTCCATTTGTACCTCATATTAGTCTTCTCTCTACCGTTAGATGATACAATACCTGTTCGCTTCGTGTGGATATCTGTGTGAGGGAAGATAGCTGGATGACATGAGACTATATAAGGAGAGTAGGGGGAGACACTCATACGCGCTTCCCCTGATGATACCGTCGCTGGCGGATGGTTGAAACGATCATAGGGATCACGCCATATTGGTACTTCGGCCATTTCTGAATTTTTTCATTAAGTACCAATTCATTTTTTGCGCGTATATGTGTCTCCCTATGGCTTTCTGTGTATGTTATTTCTCTCTCTCTCTCTCTCTCTCTCTCTCTCTCTCTCTCTCTCTCTCTCTCTCTCTCTCTCTCTCTCTCTCTCAACTCTATCTCCATATCCATGTTCTGTCTCTTCTTCTCGACCAATTCATTCCTGTTCTGAGCACGGCCTGTTGGCTGTTACGCATCCATGAGATTGCGTTCTCCTACAAGTCTGTGGTAGCGTCTTTAACCACTTCGTTATTCGTAGTCTGGTGTAGACGCACTGGTGTAGTCTACTAGGCTCTTTTACCTAGGTCTTTGCTTAGGTTTGTTGCCTAATCTCCTCCTTTCACATCTTTCCCTGACCTACCCTATCATTTCGATTGTATGGCATCTATCATTTGCTATCGTATCCTTATCCAATCACCTTCTTTAGAACCTATTCTAATCCAATCGTGTTTCGTCGGATGCGCTAGTTGTTTTATCAAGGAAGTATCACGAAGGACGGAGATCCTCCGTGAAGCAGGGGTCATTAGTCTTGTTGTTATCGTTGTTCTTATCCAATAGCAGGATGGCGGATGGAATGCATTATCCCAACTACGATCGCGTCTGCTACAATTGCAGACAACCTGGCCATTTCGCAAGGAATTGTCCATATCCTCGCCAGGAAGCACTGATCTCTGGGGTACCGGTCGGTCGTTTTGGGGCTAGCTCCTCCTCGTACCCTCCTCCTCAGACGTATGCACAAGCGGTTTATGCAGCTTCTGCTTCACCCCTTGCTCATGCCCCTTCCGCCCCTCCTCTTCCCCCTCCTTCTCCCCCTCCGCCTCCTCCTCAGATTGCTTCTTCCCCATCATCATCTCCGACCAATGCGATTATCCCTTACCGTCCCAACCCTCTCCCTTCGACGGCTCCATGGGTTCCTCGACAGAGGAACAATGAAGGCGAGGTGGTTTCCCTGCTTCGAGAACTTGTCAATGACAGAAGGGGAGAAAGATAGAAGACGTACAGAAGAAGACCGTCTTCAGAAGGAGGAACATGCACGAGTCAGCAGGGAACTGGAGAAGCAACGCCTTGAGAAAGAAGAAGCTCGTCAAGCTGAGAAGGAGGCTAGGATGGCTAGAACGATCAACGCAAAGATGGAGGAGTTGGATAAGCAACATCAGGCTCGGACAGAAGAAGAAAACAAGAAGATCCAGAAGGAGATTGAAAGAGTGGTGGGTGAACCGAAGCGAAGAATGGGTAAGGAAGTTGTCTCAGACTGTGGCGACAATCGGAAGAGATCTCAAGAGGAGATTGAAGGATCGCCTCCGATCGTTCCAGCACAGGGTAAAGCTCGTGTAGCTGAACAACCTAAGCCAAGTGCCCCGCAAGTATCTGGACTTGATGGCGGTCTACTATTGATGGAGATCGATAATGTGCAGCGAGCTCAAGATTATCAGTTTGGCCTACTTAGACGCATGATGGAGATCGTAGAAAAGTTGGGATCGTCCCTCAAAACTGGAACTACCTCTCACGATACCCACTCCAATGCTGATCCTGGTCCCTCAGCACCTACTGCTTTTCCAGTTCGCGCTCAGCCCCCTCCTCCTTCACCCCCGCCCCCGCCTCCTCCTCCTCCCCCTCCTCCTCCTCCCCCTCCTGCTACTCGTTCCTCATCTAACCCTCCTCCTCCACCCCCTCCACCTCCTCCACCTTACCCCAAGAAGAAGGCTCCTGGCTCTACTGAACCTGGTACTTCCCGTGGGAGGGTGCAGGAGAAGACTCCCGCTGGAAATCGGTTTTCGGCTCGATTGGTGGATATGTTTGCCTCTGTAGCTGGTAATGCAACGCGACGGCACTCTGTCTCTCCAGCACGGCGCACCAATGAAGATGAGCCCTTGGGTTTTGACCGTATCAACCCAGGGAAGAAGGCAGTCGTTGCTTCCTGCGGCAAAGATGGTCGTGCCAAGTATATCGAAGATCTAAAGAAGGAACTCATTACCAAGTCGAAGTACAAGCTTGAGTCCCTCTGTAAGGCGGATCACATCAAGTATTTCAATAAGAAACAAGCTTCAACTAATTTGGCCGAAATCAGAGCTCGGGATGCGTATGGGGAGGAATCTGAAGATGAGGGACTTGAAAACATTGTAGCTGACACGCAGGAGGAGAATCCCTCCTGATGATCTATAGATTTGGCCTATCTCTGAGAACTCTTGCGTATAACTCTTCATGACAGGGCCTCTACCTTGATGAGAGGAAGGGACTATGAAGATAGGGAGGCATGGACTCGATTCTTAGTTATTACCCTATCTATCTCCGGGCAGTTGGCTTGGTCTAGGAAGTTTGTGGATTTTTGGCTAAGACTGTTTGACTCTGGATATGACCTCTTTGCTCCTACTCAACCTTGTGTCTACCTCCTACTCTCCCCCTTCTATCACGCTACTTACATTGGATCTACTTGTCGTAATATAACGACTAGATGGCATGAGCATGTGAGATCCTCCTCTGATGGTAAGATAAGATCCAGCCATAGGCTTAGACAATGGTTACGTAAGAAGGGTTGGTGGTCATATATTGCTATCCCGATCACTTTTCCTGTGGATGGCGAAATCAGGAAAGTTGAGTCTTGCTTTATTTCACACTGGTGTCCCGCCCTTAACTCACGATTGTCCCCTAAAAAGCATGGTTGCAGTAGACCAGGGAAAAGGGAAAGACTTACTATTCGTAACAAGATGGGTTTGACTAATGTGCATCAACGTTAGTCAGACCGATTCCTGCAGTTTTCGATCTCCCCTGGCTCGGCCCTCTTCCCGAAATCTCCTCCGGCTTCTTTCTCACTTATGACAGAACTTGGACTATGTTTTGATAACAATCTACGTTCAGCTACGGTTGTGATTTCAGGAGGCAACACTTTTATGGATGCTTGGGGTCGTCTCAAACGGACTTTTGGTTTTAGTACAGTCCTGTGCAATGAACGAACTACGCTTCTTAAGTTTTTAAAGTTGCGATTAATGGAAGGGTTTTTTTTTTCTTCTTTACATGTATCCGTCGACATTATGATGTTAGGGAACGAAGGAAGAGTGTCTTTGTCTCTATCCTCCACATTCCCTGGTCGGCACACCTTCTGTACAACTTCTCTCTCTCCAATTTGATAAAACTCTACAACACGACGGACTGTTTCTTCACCAGCAGAACACGAGGCAAATTGAAGCAGATTATTGGGCCAATTATTTCTCAGAAGGCCGGTTTTGCCTGTGTTAGTCATGTGGTTGTTAAAATTCGGTTTCATACGTATGTACGCAAGGCTATGGTTGCCGAAATTACGAAAGTTCTGATCAGGAAGAGAGTTCGTCAAACATGTCTTGCCGAATTTATGATTTCAAGGATTCGAATTGTGTGGACCAGCAACAAATCGGTTGCTCAACTAGTCCATAACCAACGGCAGTTCGCTAACACTATTTCCTCTACCTGCCTATGTGCCTCATCCTCTGGATTCCCTCTCAACAAGGACGGCCACGTCTCCTTCCGTTTTTCTGATTTTCCTGATCTTCCTCATGTCTTCTCAAATTCCAGGAATATTTGTAGACCTTTGCTCGCCTCTTCATTCGGACAGATCAAATGAGCCATCTCGGAGGGTTTGAAAAAGGTACCTGGCAACTAGGATCGCCTGCTTAATTCTAGGATTTCTGACTGTTTTCAACTCCCCCTGCTGTTGCCCCCCTCTTTCACTCTCTCAGATTCTGATTCTTCATGAATGACTAAGCTGGAAGGACTGGTGACTATGCCCATAGATCACAATCCAGGGGATACCTATGCCTATTGTCAATTAATCTATTCCAATGCCATGCGAATGCTGTTTTTGGATAACTCAGGGTTTATCCCTGATACTAGATCTGAGTCAGATATTATTCACGCCCTCAAGAAGGAATATTTTTCCTCCAAATCCCACTCTATTGCTAGCTGGAAACACCTTGGCAGATTCGGTAAGTGTTACGTTATTCCGAAATATAAGGATATTGAGAAATGGAGCCCCATCTCACCCTCCTTCTCCGAACCTACAGTTCAAGTTAGTCGCACTATTGGCAAAGTAATCAATGCCCTTCTTTGGTCTCTCCCTAAGCTCCTACATTTCAATCTCAGATGCACTTCTGATATTAAGGAAGAGATTGGTGTTATCGACTCTAGGGTCAGAAAGCAGAAAGCTGGATTTCTTATCTCAGGGAGCTTTGACATTAAGGAAATGTTCACTAGACTTCCTCATGCCTCCATCATCGAGTCTGTTAAATGGGTCTGTGATCTTTTTTCTACGAAAGGTGTTAAGAGTATTGTTGTTAGTAGGTACGACAAGGACTGGTCTCTTCGCAGGAAAACTACTAGCAGAAGACATGTCAGAGTCAAGTTATCTCAACTGATTAGGCCTGTGATCTTCGAGCTAGGGAATATTTTTGTGAAAGTCGTCTCTCAGATCCTTCAACAAATCGTGGGTATCCCAATGGGGAAGAGTTCCAGCCCGGCCCTAGCATGCCTACTGTGTTCCTTCTATGAGTTCAAATTTATCTCTTCTATTGGTTCTGATCGAAGGTTTATTTCTGGGTTTAGACTGATTGATGATGTGGCTTTATTTCTCTCCTTTCCGACTGCCAATGACAAAAATGTGCTCAAAGCTTGTTCTTTATACGATAAATTCCTTAAATCGTACAATGATAACCTCACTCTTATCAGAACAGATGACAGGAGTGGTGCCTGGGGATTTTTAGGTACTATTGTCACTACTTCCTGCCATCCACCTACTGCGAAGTGTGTTGCCATCACCAAAAATCATGATTGTTTTCTCAAACGACTGCATATTACTTCTACTCAGGACTACCTTTCCTTTGGCCCCCGGAAGCAGAAGAGAGGGGTAATTATGTGTCATTTGCATCGGATTTTTTCCCACTCCTCAGATCAAAGAGGAGTGGGTCTCAGCCTGCTTTCGGTAAGGCATGAATTTAGGCTTAAAGGATTCCCAAGGACCATGNTAAATTTCTTAGATCGTACAATGACAACCTCACTCTTATCAGAACAGATGACAGGAGTGGTACTTGGGGATTTTTAGGTACTATTGTCACTACTTTCTGCCATCCACCCACTGCGAAGTGTGTCGCCATCACCAAAAATCATGACTGCTTTCTCAAACGACTGCATATTACTTCTACTCAGGACTACCTTTCCTTTGGCCCCCGGAAGCAGAAGAGAGGGGTAATTATGTGTCATTTACATTGGATTTTTTCCCACTCCTCAGATCAAAGAGGAGTGGGTCTCAGCCTGCTTTCGGTAAGGCATGAATTTAGGCTTAAAGGATTCCCAAGGACCATGTTTCTGAGTTGCATTCGGGCCTTTTCCGATAGCCATGAAGGAGTCTCGGACGCTTGGGTTGCCATGTTGTCTTCTTTGGATAATATCTGATTCAGACTTCCATTTGTTCTGCCGATCCACTTTTTCGCCACCTCCCACCTAGTACAGGCCCCCTCGACTCCCCAAGGACTTTGTTTCTGAGTTGAATTCGGGGTTTTTTTCTGATAAGACATGAAGGGGCCTGGGACATTTGGGTTGATTTTCTGTCAGAATCTGGATCGGACTCCCATTTGCTCTGCCAGTCCACCTTTTCGCTACTTCCCGCCTAGTACAGGCCCTCCTCGACTCAATTGCCTACCCGCCCCTCGCTGCCTACCCTCTTCTATTGGACGAAACCAAATCCCTGTATTTACTTTTACGATTTAAGGAGGATCGAACTACGGGTTCCGCCTCTCGGGTATACTATGTGTATCAATCATCAATGCCCTTGACGGAGGACGGTATGAACGTGCACTCTCCGTTACGGTTGTGCACTGACTACGCGACTCTGCTACTCTGTTGCTACTACAATGGTAAGTGACCTCTTCGACTAGACGCACTTGAGTCCCATCCCCTCCCTGACTCATGTGTTGTTTTGGAAACGGTTTTTAGGACCTTTTGTCTCTTTGCCTCGATTTCTCCCCCTCCTTCTCTCTCCCTCTCTCTCTCTCTCCTTCTCTCTTTTCTCTCTCTCCCACTTTTTTCTCTCCCTTTCTTCCTCCTCTTGCTCGTTCTCTCTCTCTCCACCCGTAAAGTGCCCCGCTCCTCTCCTTAACCCCATCCATCTGCTTGCTCTTTCTTAGTTCTGACACTTTCTGACGATTCATCCTTGAGTACGCATACAGCTACCACTCGCCCTATAACTATTATGAGCAGATCTCTTACTGTGTATTTTTGTTCTGTTGCTATGTCTTGGAGACAAAGATCGGGGTTACTAGACTATCTTCTGCCTAACTGGAATTCGAACAAGGTTCTATATACTCCCTCTGTGGCGGTGACTGAGGAGATCGGCAGTGTAACCTTCTAAGGATTACTCCTTTGCTGATGACAAGATCGGTTACGATATTTTTGCGGCATTCCCTTCAGCATCAGCAACTGGCATGATCGACGTCGACGCATGCTGATATCGCGGCAATACTTCGGTCTCCGTTTACCCGTTTGGTAGATAGTCCTCTAGACGGTCTAAGGCCTCCAAGACCTGACAGCAGTGCGCAGTTGCTTTGTTTATAATTTTTTTTCCAGACACACCGCTCCCCAATTTCCCGCCTAACGCTCTGCTGAAATTCTCTCCCCGACCTTCTCTCTTCCCTTACCTCTCTTTTCTCCTTTTCCCTTTCTTCCTCTCCCCTCTCCCTCTCTCTTCCTCTCTCTCTCTCTCTCTCTCTCTCTCTCTCTCTCTCTCTCTCTCTCTCTCTACCCTTACTATCTTTACTGAGATGGCCACGTATGCGCGTATTACCTTTTCCCAACTCCCTTCTGTTAGGTTCTCTCACCACGTGTTTGCAATCCTTTGGCTTTTGAGATGGATGATTTGGTGCCAATTTCGGCTATAAGTTTTTTGGTCTCTACGGCTAGCAGTCCTTTCGACATTTCTAATGGCATGTAGTGTGGGATGACAGATCGCAGATGCTAAGATTAGTATTTACTTCTCCGTTTTTTCCGTTCGGCGTTCCTCTCCCTGGCTTCTCCGACTTCCATCTGTACCTCATATTAGTCTTCTCTCTACCGTTAGATGATACGATACCTGTTCGCTTCGTGTGGATATATGTGTGAGGAAAGATAGTTGGATGACATGAGACTATATAAGGAGAGTAGGAGGAGACACTCATACGCGCTTCCCCTGATGATACCGTCGCTGGCG